TTGGCAGACTAACTGGCATCCCATTTACTGTCACGGCTTTACCTAAAGGAGAGAGACGAGACAAGCTTACCTCAAGCAACCATCTCCTAAAATATAGGCTGTGGCGCCTACCCTATCATCAGCCTCTGCTTCCCCTTATGACACCATCCCCCCTACCTCTCAGCAGATGTATGACGGTATTTCCCAGGCTGAGGGTCACCGACTTTGTGCAGGTGACTCCGGTGCTGCCGCATGGCACGTTCTCTGCAATCACACTGAACAAACCGCTGGTCTCCCTCGCCAGCACGTACTGGCAGTCGCCCAGGAAAGAGTAACAGCGGCCGTCGAACGTCACGTAGTGCGGGTCCCCTGTCGCCACGCACACACCGGTGCAGGCGGACTGGCTGCAGTGCCAGCGGCGCTCCTTGCACACACTGCAAGAATGAATGATGCATAGTTGAGATGATTTCATGTGAAGGGGATGGGACGCAATGAGACAACTGCATGCGTTACCATGTGTTGCAGTCTTTGGTGATGGTGTCGTTGCTGTAGTAAAGTCGACCGTTATGGTGACAGGGGCACTCCTCTGGCAGAACGCAGCGATCCCCCTGAGAACACACAACGTACAGTAATATTAGTCAAAATTCATCCGTATGAGCAGTCATGATATCAGGCGTTGTTAATCAGTTAATAATCTGTTTGGCTGGAACAGTACTCATTATAGCATTAAATGTAAGATTTAATGTCACATGTTATGATTAACAAATCATATTACTGATACTTACAATACCAGTGTTTTCTTTTAAACTAATATGTAAACAATGTTGGGAAGGTTACTTTTGAAATGTAATAGGTTAAAGATTACTAGTTACACTGTTAAAGATGTACCAGGTAATATAACTATTTTACCTACTTCATCAAAGTACTGTAACTTATTACATTTGATTACATTCGGATTTCTTTTTAGAAAAAAATGTAAACTGGGCAATGAAATTGTCGTCAAACCAGGCAGTGTAAACCTCAAAACAGCACTCAACAATGATTACTTTTTTACATTCTTCAATATAACTTGAATTAAATTTGGAACAGAGCAACAGAATGAATGTAATATTCTACATTTCAGATTTTTACTGGAAAGAATATAATGGGATATGACCCCCTTTGTAGGCCCCAACATTTTGATTCGTAACTGTAATTCAATTGCATAGTTTTTCATAGCAACTGTAACTTAATACAAATACATTTATTTTACATATAATTACGTAACTCTGATGTATGTAACTTGTTACCCCCCAACACCACATGTAACACAGTGAAGGAACTGCCTGTGCCGTGCGCTCAGTAGGACGAAGGTTCTGGGCTCTGTTACATCTATAGCACCTGCTAGCCCAGCTATATGGAAATCAAAAGAAAACAAATGTCCAAAATACACCTGCCAGTTATTCCCCCCTCTTATTAATATTAGCATGCTAACAGCAATAATTAAGCTGATAACAGTGGATGAAATGGTTATGAAATGTGGAAGTTGTTGCTTGTAAATACAATTAACCGCGAGAATTAAGCTAGTGGTCATCAACACTCTAGCTAACGTTGGTGTCTAGCGCCTCATCAGCAGCATATTTTACCATTAATTAAAAGTTAGCTCGTTCATTTTTACACCCATAACTTGGTTTAGTCTCACTGCTCTATCAAACCCATTTCCAGCAGCATAGGTCAGCTGTATTCAGCAAAAACGCTCAAACTAATTACATTTCAACTTAACTTACCCGTCTAACACCAAAACAGACAAAGTTAGCTACTAAGTTAGCTAACTTTGGCTATATGGTGAATATAGTGGAGCATTTAGCAGCTAGCATTAAAGAGACAGGTATTCTTCCCTCGGGAGTTGTGGAGACCAAAACTGAGTTATAAGGAAAGTAAATATTAAACTTGCTTGAGCAGTTTCTCTGCTGCCCCCAAGTGGTATAAACCTCGGGCAATACCTAAAAATGAATTTAGCTTTAGCTTCACCACATTGCAAGGGCCAGGTATTGTGCACATACTGGCTCACTAAGGCTTACAAGAACCCTGCAATTGAACAGCGCCATTGTTAATGAACACCTGCTGTGTTTTGCCTGCTATGACAAGTCAAAATGTCTGCTGTGAAAAGGTCTGTCGTCTCAACATTTCCCTTTTCTAAAACATATTGTTTATTCTATATCCACTCAAAATACCAAATTTTGAGTTTTCACCCACTAGCAGCACAGTTCCCTGGGGACAGACGCAGCCCGACAGGGGCTCTCTGCAGCTCGAATGTGCCACACTGGACCCCTGCTGTTGGTCAGGGGGATCCAGGCTGGAGCAGGTGAGGAGGCAGGAGCGTGGAGAGTAGACCAGACAGCCCGGACACTGGTTCACCTCCTCACAGCGCTCCTGAGTGCAGTTAAACAGCCCCCGCTCACACACACTGTGGATGGAGAGGAGAGAGAGAGAGATTAGAATTTAGAATTGACATTGGCTGAAAGGAATTTTATTTTATCCTTCAAATGTCAGGTGGAGGTGAGGGGCTTTAGAAACCGGAGGAGTCGCCCCCTGCTGTCAGTAGAGAGAATGCAAGCTTAAGACACTTCTACATCGGCTTCACTCGGCAGAACCGGAGGTTGCCGCCTGTATAAAACACATCAGGTAAGATAGCGTTACATATGTGCGTGGCTATAGCTAAGTTAGCTAGCTAGCTAGCAAGCCAAGGTAACAGCCTTGCTGGTGACGTACATTGTGCGAGACGAGAGATCACTGAGCGGTTTCACCCAATATAAAGGATACTATGACAAATCTATGACAAACAGCAATTTTCTTGACTGAAAATGATATTTCAAATAGACAAACATCATATGTGTAATTCATGGCACATTTTAAAAGAGATGAAAACATTTGTCGTGCTGTTGACTTCTCTACATCATTTTTACAAAATAAGATCCCATGCATGGGGGACGCCGGAAGCTGCGTGACTTCACTTCTCTGTTAATGATTTCAAGTCTGTAATTAATGACTATGTTATGGCAAAAATCAAGCTTGTATTAATTATGAGCAATGAAGACAGAACATAACGTGGTATAGCAGCAGTCAAGAGGTGGCAGGTCGGCCCAGCACGCCCTTCAGCACAATACTGAATCTCTGCAGCCTCAAGAGAGTTTACTTTGGATCAGTATCATCAGATATCAGGTCAGTGGTCAGCGCAGGGCCGGAGACACATCTTAGCAGTGTCAACAGCAGGAAAACGAGAAACGCAGCGACGACCAGCAGCATTCTAGTTATTCAGTCACTCAGTCATTAAGATATGACTCTACGACCAATAGAGGAATGATGACTGTGGTTATGTAGTGAAGAGACGTGATGAAATCAACCTATCCTGTATCAGCGAGCAGGAACATAGAGCGATTTCATCAGAGCTCCTGCACCACCAGGGACTCACTGTGGGATAGCGCTGTCTCATACACCTCGACGGCAGTCTCAAACACACAGCACGCTCATTGCACGGCTGAGGTTTGTTGAAGTGGCAGTTCAGCATAAAGCTACGAAATGTAGACTTTTTATGCAGATTAATCTGGAAAAACACCTAGATACTAATACTAACAAGCTAATCAAATCCATGTATTAAAGATAACAATTATATAATTTACCTGTTGTATTGAAACAACAGCACACAAACAAACTCTGACCTCCCTGACCTTTCACATTGTCCTCAAAGAAAAACATAGAAAGATTTGTTAATGCTTAGCAGACTTTATCTCCAATAACACTGTCTATATCACGGATTTAACACTTTATTAGCATTTGATCTGAGTAGATCTATCACCCCATGGGATCAAAGATATTTTCAGCGAAACCTGATTCAACAATTATTAACGCATTAAGTTTCTGTCAATATGTTTCAAAAAGAGAAATGACGTTGAGTGTTTTAAACCAGGGAGTGCTCTACCTGAGTGAAACCCCAGCTACAAGTTGCTCCCTACACTGCACATACCAGCTGTTACAGTTGTTCTGAATCACGGCCCCAGGCCGGTACGTCTTGTCTCCTTGCACACAGGGGCACATAGTGATGGGCACACACTGGCCCTGGTGGTCCTGCACTAGCCCCGGTGGGCACTGGCAACCCGGAACGCACATCCTGAGACCCGTCCCACCGCCAGTGGCATCGCAGCTCCTTGAGTCGGAACAGGATCCGCCGCAGGCGCGACCACATTCCTGGTACACCTGACCCCCCGAACACTGGACCGCTGGGGAGAGGAGGAGAGATTTCTGAACTACCTTGGGCATTTCTACCAACTCCACATTGTTAACCAGTAATGGACATCCTGAAAGAAACTCTTAAACCGATGGCCTCCCCGCTTACCGCAGAAGGTGCGGTTGCGCCAGTGGACGGCGACGCCCTCCTGAGCGCAGTGTCGGGCGTAGGCAGTGAGGATGTTGCAGTGACAGGCCCTCTGCGGAGCGCAGCCGCAAACCTCCGACAGACAGAGACGGAAAAAGGGCTCCCTCTCCACCACGTCATGACACGCCTGCAAAGATCAGACGGACGGGATACATGTGTGAATAAGAGAGAGGGAGACAGAGATAAACTCCCTGAGATAGTAGGAGATTTAACGTGCAAACTACACCTGAAAGACGGGACTGTGTATGATGGAGCACACTGTCTCCGCGTAGTGCCTCCTCTGGGTGTACGTGGTGCAGGGGTCAGGTGGAGCCCCTCTAGGTAGAGCACAGGCCTCTGTCGTGAATTTGCTTGCGAACAATGACACACTGTTCTCCACGTCTCCTTCCGGGGTGGTGAAGTCATCGTGCTGGTTCCAGGTCAGTGTTCCACAAAGGCCGCGCACCTTGAATACAGCATTTAAAAATAAATCAAATCAAAAATGCAAGTTTCTGTAGTCAACAGTCCCTGTGACGGGACCGGTTGCGAAGGTCACCTTATTTGCGAAGCCAGGCTGCAGGGTGATGAGGGCCAAAGGTCCATCTAGGTGCCAGAGCAGCTGGGCTCCAAAAGCCTGGATGAGGAGAAATGAGGAGGAGGCCCTACGCACAACCAGGTCCCCCGTCACCACTGGCAGGGGCTCCCTCAGGCCATTCAGTGTCACTGTACCTGGAGGGAACAAAAACTGCAAGCAATCAGGAGGCAGCGAACACGATCAAAACACAGACCTGTGACTTTTATTACATTACATTAAATGAAATTTATTTTTTCAGAAAAAGTTCAAGCCTGCATTTGTTGAATTTGAAAATACTGACATAAGTAGACGCCTAACTCACCGGCGTCTGTGATGGTGACTGTGGTGTGGAGTGCTGTGACTGACATCTCCCTTAGACAACCCAGACCTCCTCCACCTCCTCCTCCTCCCGCTGTAGGCCTACACTCCCCGCAGCGCACACTCACCACCAGCTTCCTGTCAACAAAGTCCTAAACGCACACAGAACGTAAGCTCGAAGAAGAAGGAGAATGCACCTCATAGTGTGTGTAGCCGTGTGCGTGGTCGCATGTCATGCACCTCACCTCGACAGCAGTGTAGGAGCAGTCTCCTCCCTGTAGTGAGTACCTCTTTTTGTCAAAGGTGGTCACCTGTAGCGCCCCCATCAGGCTGCACTGGGCTGCGCACTTCTCCCCAGTACACTGCCATTGGCCTGCTCTGCACACACTGGGAGGATTATGGGTAAAAACAAAAAGTAAACAGAAGGATGGATAGTCAGAAAGAGAGGAAGAGATATACATATGTAATCCGCTAACCAGGTGTTGCATCTCTGCTGTATCCGGTCCCCTGACTGGTAGGTGCGCCTGCGATGGAAACAGGGACAGTCGTCTCTTGTCAGGCAGAGCCCCTGGTGGAGGGAGAGGCCCGGTGGACACTCGCAGCCGCCCACACACTCCTCCCTGCACTGGCCCATGGCCGCAGCGGGCCCGGGGGGCTGGGGAGACGTGCAGCTGGGGGGACAGGAGGACACACAGTCTGAGAACACCTGACCTCTGGGACAGACGCGACCTGGGAGGACAGAGAAAGGGAGGAGCGAGACAGATTTAAAGGGCCGCACCGGTGCTTTTGCATTTTGTCGGGATGTTACGAACTGTTCTATTTCATTACCACACAGGGTGCCCGTCCTCCACACCATGATGACATGTTGCTGAGCACACTCTCGGGCGTAGCTAGCCAGGGTGTCACACACTGCCGAATCCCTGTCCTTGGGCGGCAGGCTACAGTACAGGTAGAGACAGGTGTCCATGTACGCCGCTGGGTCCAACTGAAAGGCACAAAGTTATCACATGTGGGTTGTTCAACAGTGCAACCTGTGTCAAATAGAAAAAATGACTCCCTTAGGAGTCTCCAAAGTCAGAAATGTGCAAATCCTGCACATTTTATACAGTGTTGATTATGTAGGCTAACTGAGAGGCACACAGTGCAAATGTTTTTTGTTTGTGTGCAATGATGAACATAAGAGGAACAGCTATTAGTGAAAATATTTACACAACAGATGAACAGCATATTCAAACATGCATATTATACAGTACCGTGTGTTATCACATATACAGTGCACCAATAATGAGTTGCAAGTAAAGCCAGAGAGAGGTAGTCTATAAAGAGATAGCCATATCTTAATTCACAGATTATTAACCAGAATATGATTACACCTTCAATTTCAGTTTCAAAGAGAAAGAAGGACTTCTGGGCAATGCTCATGCTAAGCCGATTGTGTGACTGACACTCAGCTGTTGGTGCTCTCCATGTAGTCATTATAGTCAGATCGTCTTGAAGACCAATGGCTGGCGTCAATCTCACCCATTTCTTGGAACTGCTCTAACAACTGACGCCCGGTAAATCATTTGCCTCCAGGAGCGTTTTGATTTACAACTCATCACAGGTTTGGCTTTCAAAAGAAATGAGACTAAAATGAGACTCTTAATAACTGAAAAGGACAACTCGTGGAAAAACAAAGCGTTAGCATTAACATTGGTCATGCCAGGTGAGTGTGTGTATAGGTATCAGGTGCCTCTGACCCGGAGGTGGCAGTGTGTGAAGGGGTCTTCCAGCAGGCGGTGACACACTGACTCCGCCTGCCTGCGTATTGCAGGGTCTCCTGAGAGGTCACAGCTGTGGCCGAGCTCGGCCGCGTCGCTGCAGCCCTGCAGGGAAGAGGCTCAGTTACAGAGCGTGCTTCTCATGAAAGTACTGGAAATGTCACAACACGCACGCGTGTTTAGAGAGCAAAAAGATCTCATACTGGTGTCTCATGAAGACAAATAATACTATAAAAATCTATCATTTTTGCAAGAAAAAGTGATATACTCATTAAAGCACTCAGTGCAGTACTTCGTTGTGCTGGTCAGGAACTTTCCACGAGTTGCCGAAGCTAGCGGCGTACTGGGACACAGCTCCGCCCACTGTGGTGAAGTCATCTGCAGCAGGAAACAGGTACATTAAAATGTAAAAGAGTTAGCTCAGTTGAATCAAGAGGAAAATGTGTATCTGCATCTGTCGCACTTTCCCCACCGTCAGCGTTGTTGTTGTAGACTCCACAGAGCCCCCTGGTGGCCATCAGGTGCTCAGCGGTCACCGTCAGGTACACGGTGTTGGTCAGGTCGAACTTCACTCTCACTCCCAGGCCGCTCTCCACAAACACAAAGTCCCCCAGCCAATGAACACTCACTCCTGTAGGAAGTCAAATCAATATGCCAGTAAATATTTCTAGTGGAGGTCAAGGAAGCATCACCTGTGTGCGTCCATCCATCTTATTTCTTAGTCAATAGAAAATGAAATAAAAAATGCAGCAAATTATTGCAAATACACAGTGGTGGAAAGTAATTAAGTACATTTACCCAAGTACTGAATTTAGTACAATTTTAAAGTACTTGTACTTGACTTTTTTATGTTTCTTTAAACTTTTACTCCACTACATCTCAGAGAGCAATATTGTACTTTTAACGCCACAACATGTATTTGATAAATTAAGTTACTTTACAGTTTTAGAATATTAACACCAAAACATTATTAACACGTGAATGATGATGTATTATTAGAGAATAAACTATCCAGCAGGATATAAAGAAGTTAAAACCTTCAACAGCTGCAACGCAATAACAGATGATCAATAATTATAATCCAATAACATAATATACAAAGTATGATTAGGAAATTGTTCATTCTGTATCATGACAACTTCTTCTTTTGATCTTTTATACTGAAGGCCCAGTAGATGCAACACACAGCCTTTCATTAACATGTGCTATATTTAGTTTTACAGAAATATTTACATTTAAATATCAATTCATAAAACTCAAAATGTTGTTTAACATGTTTTTGATTTAGGTACACTTGGTTCAGTTGGTTCAGTGCAGGTCTGACTGTGTCATGATGTAACATTAGCATCAGGGGGATTGTATTTTATTTTGACCTCGTCTCATGTTAACAATATCAGACTAGAAGTGGAACACAGAGAGCTTTACTAGCAGCGGAAAGTACTTTACCATTTTGGAAGAGTGGCTCTCCATTGGGAACGGGGAGGCTGTTCAGCGTTAAGTTCTTGTGGTGAATTGAAACCAAATCAAGCCCCAGCATCATCCTCAACGCCTGAAAGCAGAGGGCCACAGACACATTAGAAAACCAGTTCAAAGCAGACATTTCTAACAAACCACAGGCCAGACATGTTTTTCACCCTCACCCAGCCAAGCTCACCAATGTCCCTCCCAGAGCACATCACTGATTATACCGCTTCATTGTATATATTTCCCACCTTGCTGCAGACTCCTCTCCCGTCACAGACCGTACTGATGTAGACTGCCCAGGTGCCATCACTGGATGAGGCCAGCAGGTAAGTGCAGTCGCCCTGGAAGTGGAAGTGCTTCCTGTCAAAGGTGCGGTAGTGGGCTCCACCCCAAGTCATGCAGGTGGCCGAGCTCTGAGGCACCCTGACGCTACCCAGCAGACCACCGCGCACCAGAGGGGAGGTCTGGGAGTCTGTAGGGGAAAAGTATAGTGTGTGTTACTCATGTGATGTTGTCCAATGAAATACAAGCAGAGAGCAGCTGCTAGCAACACATTTTTTAAAAAGAGAAATAAGTCACAAATTAATGCCCCAAAGCATAGTAGGTATAGGTCCAAAATGTGCATGGATGCTCTCTGACCAGGAAGAAGAGTGTAGGAGCAGGACAAGCAGGTCTGGTCGGAGGCGTTCCTCCAGCTCAGCCCCCACAGGCTGCTGCAGCACTGCTCCATGGGCATGAGAGAGGAGTTATGAACTCCAGGGAACTCCACACAACTCCACGTAGAGTAACACTGGCCACGCACGCCCACACCTGGGAGGAAGAGGACAGAGAGAAGAGGTAAACAGAGAGTAAAAAGGGTTAGAAAGAAGGACAATGGTCCTGGTAGGGTCCCCGTCTTTAGATATTTGAAATAAATGAGAAATAACGAGAAGTGTGTTTTTATTAATTTCAGAGCAGCTGGTGACCAAGTTGAGAATCTTGAAAGAAACCAGTAAAAAATCATCGTGAGGCTGTTTTTATTCTAGTCTGGTTCATTTAAAGCAGTTATAGTGAAGTGTAAACCTGTTTCCGCTCTTCCTCAACTCAACTGACCTGCTGTATACGTGTATAACCCGTCCATTTACACACATTTCCTGCCACGTTGTCGTTGTTACTTCATGCCTGAAACTGGTAACTCTGGACCTGGACCTGGACCTGAACCTGGACCTGAACCTGAACCTGTACCTGTACCTGTATCTGTACCCAGTGTGCAAAATACCCAGTGGTAATCAGGTCAAGTCGCTTCTTGTAGTTGTTGGTTTCCAAGAAGAGGAGAGACGATGTCCTGCTTTAATCCAGGTTCTCACGAAAGGCACCGGATCAAGTCTGTCCAAAGGGGGTTCCTTTAGGTCCTCAGAGAGACGTGAAGACAGGACCCGTTGAAGCTCTAGCTGGCCGTGTCGTTTAACGTCAAGGTGGAAAATTGTCTCTCGCTCTCACTATTCATATTTGTGAATAAATGTTTTTCAGTTTGAATAATGAAAACTGTTCGTAAGCTTTAAAAGACATTTTAGTGACAACTGCAAGTAACTTAAAGTAAGTTTCTAAAGCTATCAAAAGTTCAGGTTGGTTATTTTCAATGATTTGTAGAGTTGAGGTTTCCACCAAGGATGTCAGAGACACACTACACCCAAAACTCTCTCTTCTTCTATTCAAGTGATCGATTCACCAATCGATTCATTGACAAAAACAAAAATGGTGGATCGAACAAATACTGGAAACACAGTGAGACTGTGGTGTTGCTGTGTCCTGCAGATGAACTTTGATGATATCTAACACGTCGACCTCCTGAGGAGCGAGAAGCGAGACCCTGAAGCGCAGCAGCAGCATTCTGTGGTTTGAGCGTCTGGCTGACACACAAGGTAAACTTGGAGGATGTTATGGTTTTCACACCTCTGAAAAATATGAAACACGATGTTTATAACCTATAGCCATACAGGAAGCGCCATCTTAAGGTGCAACTGACTTTTTATTCATACATTTTATCCTCATTTAAGTTTCATTCTCTTTGATGAGTTATGATTCTTTCCTTACATTGAGCTCAGAGTGTTTTGATTTCAGATATTATTATATTCTTTGCATGTAATCTCATATTGTTTAGTGTCAATTTAAAGATGATTAGCTTTAATATGTCTTCCTTTCATGTATAATGAAGTAATCATATGTGCTTCTATTTGACGGAATGGTAAAGAAAAGTAAATAAGTCAATTTGGGCTTTCTTTACTCTGACCTGATGACTGAGTCAGCAGAGGAAAAAGGCTGCAATAGTAAATGTTGGGGGGGGGGCATCCTCTTTAAAAAAAAAAAGCCAGACAGGAACCTTCAAAGAGGCTAGCAAGAAAGTGCTAACCTAATTAAGCAGTCAGTCAGATAAGATAAGACTACGTAAACAGCATTATCCAATGCATTAAGAATGATCTGTTGTCTACCTCATAGACCAGAAGGTTAAAGAAGTGCCAGAGACAGAGGTATAAGGAGGAGGGAACAAAGGATCGGGCTTCTTTAGGCTTATCAGGTCTTTTTAGGGATTTTGTAATTTTGACAATTTGTCTTTTCCTTTACTTATTTTTCGTTATCCATTTTTGTAAACTTTTAGCTTCTTTTTATTGTAAAAAACAAATAAAACTGGATTATATTTTATACGTTCCAACCAAAGTCCAGTGCTGCTCATCTCTGAGGGGCCTTCGTAGTCTCCTGAAGGTGAGAGAGCCCCCCCCCCCCCCGGGATAGGGAGATCATTGGACATACATTTGAAAGGCATTCCTGCTACGAGCTAAGGTTAAAATGATGTTGTGCTGTATTATGTGATTTACTAACTTGGTTGGCTCAGATTGTGCTTGTTTATTTTGCATGATGGTGCAGTGTGATTGTAATGCTTAGACATTAGCTGTTGTGGTTTTTAGTAAAGCCATAGGGCTCAGATTGGCATCTAAATCAGGGGTGTTAGGGCCAGGGTCCTGAAGCTGCCCTTCATTATCGAGCGAGGTTCCCAACCACACGGGGTTCCTCCTCCAGCGGTGGCCCTTTAGAGCGGGTCCATCCTGGAGTACTTCCAGTCCTCCATAAGTGATACGGCGGTGGCAGTGTTATTAACTTATCCTGGATTTTGCCGCCCTGAGCAGGCTGAGACGGTCTTGCGTGTAGATTTTGGGGTGTGCGTTCGTTACCTAGGTCAGAGGTCACTGAACAAGCCGTCTTCCAGTGCCTCACTCACACTGGGAGCTAGGCTGCACACCGTTTCAATATATTTCCGACTTATCACCAATTTTTTCATTGCGGTGATCATGATGCATTGTTTCATTTCACATGTAAAACATGCATAGTGTACATCTCATTTGCCACTTTCTTGTCCTCACCCTCAGAGCAGCGTGGTCCGCCCCAGCCCTCACAGCATGCCCTCACTGTCTTGTTCACCATCTGGTTCTCCATCTCTGGGGGTCTGGAGATCGACAGACACATCAGGTTGGAAACGTCAATACATACAAAGTCACAGACATCTCTCCCCCTCTGATACCATAAGCTGTTGATTTCAGTTCTTCAGCCGTGTTCACACCAAACACGCGTCATTCGCACCGCCGGTCTCGCGGGGACTATTTGTGTTCATTCGCGTGAATCGCGCTGGACGCACCGGAGAGGGGGCGGGGCTTATCGCCCTGAAGCCGTTCAACTGTCCGCCATCAACCGTGGAAATAATACCCTCTATTTCTGCTTAGTACGTGTTGTGGAAGTCACAGATGTCCCGGGAAAGTAAACGCCGTCATGTCTGGTTCATAACAGAGTCCAGAGGAGCTCCGTGGATTGTATCGAGCTGTGTTCACTGTGTGTAGCGGGCCACAGGGCGCTGTTACTGCAGCTGTACCAACACTAAATAAACTGATGGCTGTGATTTAACGGCAACAAACCGACAAAAGGGACTCCGAAAGAACTACGTAATGATGCCGATTCGTAAAAAGTCTGAATTCATGTTTAGTTAGTTATCTCCGCAAGGTTTACACACACACACACACACACACACACACACACATGTATACACATAGTTTGGTCTCTATTGATATGCCAAACGCGCCATTGCAAGTTTGCATCGCTCCAGTCTCATCGCGTCTGCGCATAGACTTTGTATGTAATCTACTCGCGTGAATAATTGGTGTGAACGCAGCATCACTGTCCTTTCTTCAAGTTTGCTTACATGAGTAAGTGCAGAATATGACAATGAGCGCAGAAAAAGCTAGGCCAGTAAAAGGCAAAAAATATCCTATTTTCATGAGGAATGGGTACGTTTTATTTCCACGAATGTGAGTGACAAATGTGTGAGTCTCATTTGCGGTGCAGCGAGTCAGTCGGTAAAAGATGGAACGTTAAGCGCTTCCCCAAAAGTCCACAGCAGCTCTACACCGGACTGGCAGCAGACTACGAACAGAGACGGTACAGGAGCTGAAGACAACGTTCAAAAGAAAACGGTCTCTTCACCTAACTGACGAGAAGGCCAACGCTGCAACAGAAGCTTTGTTTAGTGGGCACTCATCCTATGCTGTGGTTGGAATAGAGGCGATGACTGCGGTGGCTGAAAACGTTATTTAAGGACCATAAAAGTAAGACAGAAATGATGTCTGTTATTAGCGATGTACCACTTGGTGCTATGAGTAGCTCTAAGCAACTCTCCTTTTGTCAAACGAGCTCTCAAAGGAGAAAGAAAGGTTGGAGACCCCTGCTTTAAGGCAAGTTAATTGGATACGGTTGTACTTTCAAAAGTACAACATATAACAAGTCACATTAGGCATTGTTTTGAGAAATGTCTCACTTTTATAAAGGCAACAGCTCCTGCACTGGATTCTTCTGATAACCATGAGGGTGTAACATTGACATGTTCCTTCTATTCCCCCTCAATCATACTCTCCACCACCACCTTTAACTGTTGGAGCGACTCTTTGCAAATATTTAAAGATTTTTATTTTCATGTGATCAACACCAGCAATACTGCCACGAACCCCCTTTTAACGAGCTAAGAACACCGGGAGTGATCCGGTTCACTTTTCAAACACTTAGAGCCGAAGACGCGGGCCAGCGGGCTGACAGTCGCTCAACTTTTCACTTACTTGTACAAGAAACATGAGGCCTTCGGACCCTGTCGTCTGTAGTACAGTGCGATGCCGTCGTCGCCCCCGTGCTTGGCGCGCATCCTGTCCACATCGAGCCTCCAGGCCTGGGTGTTGTACTGATACACCTCAGAGCAGCTCACTTCCAGCTGCAGGCGCGGGGACAGGACTCGCTCCACTCTCTCCTCCGCCGTGTGTTCGCACCAGTGTCTGGAGCACGACACACAGATCTTAATGTCCCCTCTAATGCTTCCTTTGTAAAGTGCTGTTGTGACTAAAGGTACTGGCATGATGTTTACTTCAAGATCCTGAACTCTGAGGTCAAGAAGGATTCTCCTGTCCACTAACGTAAAGATCCTGATTATGAAAACACGTACCAAGACAGCACCAGACAAAGTTCATATGCAATGTGTTGATTTATGGTTCAATAGTAAATAGAATCAGTTTATCAGTAAACGGGGCTGGAATTAGGTTCCCTTATCAATACAAGATACTGGCATTGGTATCACCAGTAGCCGTGTTCTTGGGTCATGTCATGGCATGCTACATATATGTTCTGCACTGATACACAGTAAGAAATTCAAGTGGAAGCTTATACATCTAATTCCTCTTTTGTGTGTTAATAATGTGTTTTTGATTGAATAATACTAATTAAAATCATTTTAGTGCTACAATATTGTCTAATTTGCTGCAACTGGCTTATTACTCTGCAAGCACAGCAGTCAATGAAGACTCACTCCTTCATTTACTTGAATTCATAGAAAAGAGCAGTGACCAACGAGCACTATCAGAACCTTAAACATCTACTGTAACAAGCATTTCTAATGAAGGCGAGTAGGTCAGAGGCTCAGGGCCCTTTGAGCGTTTTTTAAATATGACTACTCATGGCTTTCACCAGGGTTATGGTGTTGTTTCAGTGGTTTACACAGTGATTTGTACAGTATGCACTCAGACAGGTGAATCTTGTTCATAACTTAGTCTCTATATGCTATGACACTGTCTACAAAATCATCTTAATCCAGCTTTGACTGGTCTGAATCAAGCTCACCGCATTCCCATCACTGTCTGCAGTCCAAGCAGAGTCAGCAGGAGGGTCCCCATGGTCCTCTGCTGAATGTGTGGGCCTAAAGTTCCTGCAAAAAAGGTTTGTGTGCAAGTTTTGCTTTTTTATAATCAGACTTTTTAATTAAAAACAAATACAAAACGAATTTCAAATTGTCAAAATAAAGTAAACTTAATTGGCAGCTGAAGAAGTTCTTCCTGACATTTAAAGATAGAATTCAGGCAGACAGACGGACAGCCCAATGAGTGGACTCCAACCATCAATGTGAGGATTGAGTTTAATGTGTTTCATTGTGAGGGTTCAGACCGATCCATCTGAAACGTGAAGACATCTTTATAACTCCCATCGTCCAGCTACAAATAGCAAACGGTGCACTTACCTTTGAAGAGCTTTTGGGAGATATTTGCCATAAAAGGTTTATACGTCCTTTCTTTATGTCATTATTCTGTGCGGTTCTGTCCAACAGTATTTCATACACTCCTCAGTGATAGTTTGCCTTATGGGGGGAGCGGAGCCCCAGATGCAGGCATTTAAACGCGGGGGGTGACTTGTGGGATGGACAGTGGCATCTGAACCTGCTGCCATTGGTTGTAAGTGGCAAGGTCACAGCTGTGAGGGCAGGCATTGGCCACCCGACCTGTGACGGACACTTCCACTGACCTCGCCCCCGTCAAACATTACAGGCGATGGCGGGGGCCGTGGAGCCTCAGCCACAGAATAAAGAGATATTTGTCAGAGCCTAATCCTGTAAAGAGAGGCAAGGATGATGGGGGCATTTATTCAATGAAGCGTGTCAACAGACATGGGGGAGCGAAGGCTTTTAGACTCACCAATATCCCAAGTGTGACCTCCTGACCCTGCAGCGGGGAGACTCAAACACAGCCGTCACCACAGGATACCTATAAGCTACTGGTGTCACAAGGGCTGGCTTTAACGCTAAAAGCAAAACAGCGTGTCGTAATTGACTTCCCAGCAAACTCTTCATGGCAGCCTTGGATACGTTACGTGTCTTGATAGAGATAGCAATGAGCTGTGTCACTTCGCTGGTTCACTGCTTCGTCATCACTCGTGGGAAGAAGGGTGAGAGGCAGCGTTGCCAGATGTAGGATAATTATCCTCTTTGTACGATCATTTTGCTCTCTGTACGTTCATTAATGCCAAAAAGTTCCATACTGTATGATAAGTTAACCATTTTGTAAAGCTTACAATTTGCAGCTGGTTTTGGTCTAATTTTGATTTATTAAACATCAAGCATCATAGCCCATGCCAATGATGCTCAGCGTGGGCTATGATGTTTAGAGAGAGAGCCCAGTTATCTATTAACTATACTTAGCTTATGGCCTTGACTGTTTTTCATAGACCTTTTGAATTTGAGTTTACAAAGTGCTTTGATAGACAGAGCAACAAATCAACAGAAAGCTCAACAGTGAGGCCACCAAAGCAAGGAAAGGTAAGAGTTAAACCCTGATAAAAGAGTACAATAGAAGAAACAATAAAAGTATACAATGCGATAAAAATAAACATGAATTTTACAAAATAAAACTTAATAAAACTTAATAAAATAAAATTAAATTAAATTAAATTAAATTAAATTAAATACAATTAAATACAATTAAATAAAACTTAATAAAATAAAATAAAATAAAATATAAAATAAAATACAAAATTAAATGAAAACAAAACAAAACAAAACAAGATAAAATAAAATAAAATAAAATAAAAAAAATAAAATAAAATTACTGATTCTGCAAGCCTCGTCTCCTCAGGCAGGTCGTTCCAAAGCCGAGGGGTCCTAATGGCAAAAACACGGTCACCTTTAGTTTTCAACCAACATTTCTTCTAGTCATAGTAGGCTATTACACAAACTGGCAGACTGATGAACTCGTGGACACATACCAACACATCATAGCTACGTTAGCTGTGGGTATAGATTTGGAGGCGTGTCCAAAGGTAATTTATATACACATTTTGTCAAATCACACATTTACGCCCTTTGGTTCTAATAGTTATGAAATGCAATCATTTTGAGCCTTTGGTATGATAATTTAACATTTCCCATCTGGCAGCACAGAGGAGTGTGGATGGAGAAAGAGAGGCAGATTAGAGGAGCAAGTTACTATCAATCATACATTCAGACGACAATGAACAGTTTTAGAGTCTCCAGCTTTGAAAGAGGCACAGTGGTGCTTTGTGCTAATGCTAACATCAGCATTTCAGTAAATTCAGTTTGAGAAATCAAAGTGCAAGCACGGGGCTTTTTGAGTGTGAGCTTTTAAGGGGAAGCATTACAGGGGAAGTCTTACTCTATTTCCATTTAATGTTATCTTCTGTTTTATATTGCTTTCTTAAAAGCATACTTATACGTCTTTTCTTTATCACCTTGTGTTACTTTTCTTCATGGCTTTTATGTCTTGTGTAAAGCACTTTTGCCTCACTGTTAAAAGGTGCTGTACAAATAACCCTGGCTGGCCTTATGTTCCTGTTATTTCATCATGTTTACAATCCACTGTTGACCAATCAGCTTCCGTCACTGCAAAGCAGGTGGTTAAATATAAGCCGCAGTCCATTGACTCCTGTTTCCATAAGGAAGCTGTCTTTGATTGTTGAAGCAGGCTTACTGGACTGATCGACCTTGTTTTACAAGTTGCTTGAAGCAGGCGGACAAATACAGGTACAGTACCTTGGTGGTCTTTTTCTTTTTGTCCTGATTTAGAAGTGCAAGTGTTCCTCAGGGAGGCATGGGACGATCTAAAGTTAGTACATCATGTATCACACATCTAAATATAAAGCAGGGAATCTTACCCTTCGAAGACTACTTGGACTTGCAAAAAATAACTTGTGAGCTTTTCTAGGAGGGATGTGTTAAATGACAGTAGATTATTTATTAGTTGGAGACCCAGTGTAATCATACAATATGGTTATAAGTTACAGTTATTATTGAATGCATTAAAACTATTAATACCGTGCAGTAAAACTTCTGCATTCAAATGTTTACCAAAGTGAAGGAGAGGTGCCATCAGCACAATGTACTTAAATATACTTAAATCTGGTTACGGTGGAGCTTTCAATTTTAATGTGATGCAATAATATTTCAGGTAAACGTAGTACTGACTACGTTTATATGCAATAAATATTCCGTTACATCCATTCAGAATAAGGTCTTATTCAGAATATCCAACGGAATATGATGTTTACATGAGCCATATCAAATTTGGAATATTGTCATATTCAAAATAATAGTGGAATATTAGTGTGCATGTAGACACAGTCAATGTTTTCCTCCTCCTCCTAGTACTGTATACTAGTTACTAGTATGCAGTTCAGTTGCATATTTTAAATGTGCTCTGGGGGCCTTTTGTAAGTTATTTCAGGGTAGAATAAGTTAGAATAGTAACATAAACATATGTAAAATATTTGTTCATATCTAAACATGATTATACATCTATAGCTGTTTGGGGCCCTTTCAGTTAGGCCCAGGTTGCCCCTGGGGTTCTTTCCTTAACCGGAGTCTATTTTACTGTTGTTTCTGACTTTGAGGGGCCGTGACTTTGGTTTGTGACTCGATTATGTCATGGCAGGTGTATTGATGAGGACCCAAGAGTTATGAGTGTTATGAGTGAAGTTGTTTGCAGCAAAACCACAGGCCAAGCATTCGGCCCGTTCATGTCCATGCATGTTTTCAAAGGGCATGTTTTTGTTTGCATGTTATCAAATCAAATCAGTTCTGCAGAATGTGACAAATTGCGTTTCGAACTTGATTGGAATTTCTGAACTGAATGCAGTTTATCTCGTAATTGTGCAGCACAAACTGTAACAGCAGGAAGATAAACAGAGAGCGGAGAGAAGGGCAATGGTCAACATTGTCCTCTCTGCTCTGAGTGTCTTACAGCAGAGGCTGATACTGTTGAAGAAAATCATCATGTAACTTAGGATTGAACTGAACACATTTGGTTCATAAAAACATTCTTAGGAAGAGATTAAGGCGCCAGACAAATTGTAATCTATCACTCCTATTTGTGTCCAAACATTTCCCATACACGAATGGTGTTGTTCTGCCAAAAGGTTGTGTTCTGCCAAAAGACCCAAAGAAAGTCATGAGAGCATGACATAGTGAAGAGACCAGGGTGCTCTGTTTGTGGTTCAACCCACTGGTTTGATTGGTGGAAACTGACTAAAAGGGATGAAGTTTGACTATAGAAGTAATCTGTGAAAAGTAATACATCGGATTTGTTTGGATTTGCTGAACTCGTTGTATGTTGGCGTGTACTTATTAAAACACTTCCCGCTGGGTTGCAACTTCAATTCGCCTTCTCTTAATTAACATAATTGGCGCCCAACGTGGATTCGAGTCGAGGCCGAGGCATCTTCCACTTCTTCAGCCAACCGACAATCACGCTAGAGGTCACGTATCAGGTAGGAGATGTTCATATCTCACCATAGATTTATTTCTGTATAGCGTGGTTCTCGCTTGTGCGATAAGGTGGAGTGTCTGGGGTCCCCTCGACTGAATCCACGCTCTTTGGCGGAGGAGGAGAGACGCAGATTGGTGTTAGCGGATAAAGTGGAAATGTTGAAATGATTCAATTTGATCTCCAGCTGTAAAAAGAGAGCTCTCTGTAGAAGAGGCGTGTGCGGCACTGTGTTTGCCGGACGCCTGGATGTGGCCGTAAGCGAAAACTCGGAGCGCTCCGTGAATCTCTCAAGCTCAAGAGACTGTTGTGCGCTGATGATAAAGCTATTTCTGCAAAAAAGGTTAAAGAACTCCATTGGGAGTGTGATACGTAGGTCCTAAAAAAACCCTCTCAGGAGGCCTTCTCTGAGCTCGAGAGAAGTACAAAAGGACTGGCTTAGATTTACATATGAATAACTAGAATATAGGGAATCTGTTTCTGTCTTAGGCAGGAAGCTACGCTGACTAGAGACTCAGAAGTTTTGTGCAGAAATCTAATGAGCAGGAAAAGTAATACCTAACTAATAGACAATAGAATGACTGAATACAGGTTGAAAGTGTGCACACGACTGTAACCTACTGACATTACTGATAAAGTTATACTATAAAGGAGAGATCCTTATGTGACAAAGGGAAGAGACAAAACTCCTTATAAAAAACGCTGAGTAAAGATTGATGAGCCTCTGGTGGGAAAGTGGTCGTGTGAAATAAAGAGGACATTTGTAACTGTAACAAGCAGCCCAAAAATAAGAATCTCTCTTTAACAAAAGAGTACAAGCAATTAAAAATAAAGCTTACACAGTCAAAGTCTGACATTAGAAAAAGAAGATAAAAAACAAAGACCTGAACAAAAACTGACTGACAGACTGAGACCGCTGACTATTGATGACCCATACACCCGGGTGGCTTTGCATGAGTATGACCTATTGGCATGTTTTTGGTTGTTTACCCAGTGATAACGCTTTTGCAACAGTTTAACCAAGCCGCTAATAAGTTGTGAAGGTAGAAGTTTCATCGTGATTTTTTAGAGTTGCTCTGGTTACAAGGAGACTCTACAGCAGTACACAAGCTCAAAGCTTCCAAACCTTATAGTTCAACTTGTCAATTAGAGTGTATAAAGTTAGTGACACTAGTGTCGCAGTGGTTGTATAATTGTAAAACTTAAAGTAGTTTTTATTTTTCCCTCTTTGTTAAAAAATTGTAATTGATGGTTGAGGTGAACTACCGTTTTTCGTTCATTAACTTTTCTTATGTATCACAGGGAGCCAACAATGTAGTAAATGTATTTTGGTTGGCTTGATTAATGTGTTCAAAGAGACAAAAATATATATATAAATATATATAGAGAGTTTGTTTCAACCCATCTGCATATATCCTGAGCTATGTTGTGTCCAGATCCTATTCTGTCTGCAGGAGAAAAAAATTAAAAAGTTCAAGCTCCGTGTACTTGGTGGTGGCAGGTCATCCAGATGTGTGTGCGTAAACTCAATTCAGTAGCCAGTATGAACTCTTGCGCTACCTTTCTGGTGTATATTGGCTGTACGCCCAGATGTTGGGGCCTTACAGGCTCGCTCTCTCTGTACAGAGAGGAGTAGAATTGTCATACATACAGACATTGATCATACATAGCTCCTAAATAATCAGAGGAAGAGTGTTGATGGAAAGGGGTTGTGGAGGTCACAGGAAGGATTGTTGGTTGCACTTGGTGCATTGCTGACCATCTCAGAATCGCACAGTGAAGATCACTGTGCGAGGGGGGAAGTACTGAAAAGGTTAAAAAGACAATATAACATAATAAAAGCTATCCATTTATTTATCAGAATTAACAGCACAATAGCTGGACAGATGTGTCCTGGTTAACATGTATTATTTATCGACGATTTGGTATATCCATTCAAATTGAACTAAGTCTTGACACGAGTGTTTTGAAGATACTGTAAATGACAAACTAGAGAAAATGAGTAAAAGTCAAAGTGAGTCTGAGCCTGAGCAGCTTGATGCCAAGGTCTTACCTCCAATAATAAAATGTATGCGGAGCAAAGATAATCAGACTGCCAAACAATTGAAAGAATGGATCAAATGGGTTCCCTGAAAAAGGCAGTTTCAGCCTACAAATGTTATGAACTCAAAACCTGTTTAAAGCAAAAGGAGAAAGAGGAAGCAGAAATATATGGAATAATGTCTCAGGGAGAAAGAAAGAGATTAAGCAATAAAGGTCAGAAAGACACAAATAAGAAAACAGGGAACAATAAGACAGGTAAAACTGATAAAAAAGGAAAATATACTGCCGAACTTTGTTTTGGTTTGTTTTTGTCCAAGGGACATGGTCAAGTGGACCCCAGAGAGGGACACACATTAACACACAGAGGGTGAGTTAACTTTAGATTCTGACTATTTAGTATTGAGTGATGTTATATGTATTATCTTACTCACTCAAATGTTCTGTATTGATATATAATCAAGCACATATAATTGACATAATCACTTGGCAGGATCATTCCCTGATTCTGTATAATCCATTTAATCACTTGCGTTGTTGCAATGCTGTGAGGGATCAAAACTTGAGGTTACAGTTCCACCTATTTAACAAAAGTTCTATGAAGTTATGGTGGGGGTCAAGTCTTTGTTGAAGAAAATCATCATATACAGTAACTTAGGATTGAACTGAACACATTTGGTTCATAAAAACATTCTTAGGAAGAGATTAAGGCACGCCAGACAAGTTGTAATCTATCACTCCAATGTGTGACCAAACATTTCCCGTACACAAATCGTGCGTTCTGCGAAAAGGTTATCTTGGCGTGTGCTTATTAAAACACTTCCCGCTGGGTTGCAACTTCAATTCGCCGTCTCTTCTCGTCATTTTGCCACAACAATACATACTGTTTGTGTTCCTATGGAGAAGTAGAGGAAAGACTGATATAATAATAGCAAATAGAGCAAGAATTGTTTATCCAGCTGGGAAGAGAAGAAAGATGGGCCAAGTGTTTCCTTGGAATTCTGCAGGAGAGAGATGACTCTAGCTAGCTTTCAATTATTTAGGCTGTAAAATAGTTTGGGTAGAAAAGAGCCAGAATGAAATTTGACTAATTAGAAACAGAATTCTTCTTTCTGAAACTACCTAATTCTAAAAGATTGATTACAAAATGTGCCTTTTCAAGGATGAAAAATGATGCATGTCTTCATTCAAAATATCCATTTAATTAGTGCTGGACAATATTTTCTTATTATATTACAGCCATGAGACTTCTCTGTCTACTGCTGCTGGTCTGCTTGGCTAGTTGTAGTGATTCCAGATCGAGAGACTGGGCTCATCATGGTGCCCCCATGTTTGCCGACCTCACAGTACGCGAGATGAAAGCTGTCCGGGCTTACCTGCATGGTATCCCGGAGCTGGAGCTCACTGATGCTCGCAGCAAGACCCTGATGAAGAACAGCATCCTCCTGATGGAACTCCATCTGCCAAGGAAGCATGAAGCCCTGAGAGTTCTGGACCGGGGACATTCCAAACCCCCACGTCAAGCCCGTGTGATCATCCAGCTGGGGAACCAGACCAATCCTAACATCACTGAGTACATTGTCAGTCCTCTGCCATCCCCAAACTCCCATGAAGTCAAGACGTTCAAGGGGGGTAGGCCGATCCGCTTTGAGTCAAGGCCTATTACCATTGCAGAGTATGGCCATTTAAATAACATCCTCGAGAAGATCACAAACAAAGCTCACAAGCTTCTATTTGAGACCACGGGAGGGTTTTCTTTCACTAACTGCTCTGACCGCTGCCTGATATTCTCAGACATAGCCCCCCGTGGACTGGGTCCAGGTGAGAGAAGAACCTGGATCATGTTGCAGAAGTTTGTGGAGGGTTTTTTCATCCACCCAGTTGGATTTGAGGTACTGGTCAACCACTGGGACCTGGATCCAGAAAAGTGGACTGTTGAGAAAGTCTGGTACAACAGCATGTACTTTGACAGTGTTGAGGATCTGGTAGAAAAGTATGAATCAGGAGGTGTGGAGAAGGTCAAACTGCCCGATCATGACGATAGTGACCTCTACTCCACTTACATCCCACGGGGTCAAAGCAGTACACCCACTAATATCCATGGGCCGAAGCTCGTTGAGCCTCAGGGGCATCGCTATCACGTTGACGGTAACTTTGTTGAATATGCTGGATGGTCTTTTGCCTACCGAGTCCGCTCATCAGCTGGGCTTCAAGTCTTTGACCTCCGTTTTAATGGAGAGAGGATTGCCTATGAGATCAGTATCCAAGAAGCTATTGCCTTCTATTCTGGTGATACTCCTGCCGCCATGCAAACAAAGTACATCGACGCTGGCTGGGCAATGGGAAGCTCATCCTTTGAGCTGGCGCCTGGAATCGACTGTCCAGAAATTGCCACCTTTGTTGACCTTTACCACTACTTTGACACGGACAAACCTGTGCACTACAAAAATGCGCTCTGCATTTTTGAGATGACCACTGCTATGCCTTTGAGAAGGCATTTCAACTCCAACTTTAAAGGAGGATACAACTTCTACGGGGGGCTGGAAAACACTGTGCTGGTGCTGCGGACAACCTCGACGGTTTACAACTATGATTACATCTGGGACTTTGTCTTCTACCAGAATGGGGTGGTGGAGGTGAAGGTCAGCGCTACCGGATACATCCATGCCACTTTCTTTACACCTAACGGACTTCACTATGGTACCAAGGTGTACAACTATGTGCTGGGAAACCTGCACACACACCTCATCCATTATAAAGTGGACCTGGATATTGCTGGTGAGTATTATGGTACAATTACCTAGTTTTCAACATCTGTTTTAAAGCAGTAATTCTTTATTGATCAGTGGAAATCCCAGCCCAGTATCCTATGAATTGCGGCCATATTGAATGATTCTGATCAATTTATGTCAAGCATGCCTTCTATGTATATAATGTGTCAGACTTACATAGACCGGAGTTCACACCCTGCCATACCCCACAATTAACATTTACTTTTAATATTAACCTTAACCACATTCTCTATCCAATTGTTTTAGTTACCCAACCCTAACATACCGTAACCATGATTTATGTGCTATAACTACAATCCTTTTCCATATTGTAGTTGCCATGCGCAGATATTGTGGAAAGTAAGAACTTTGTAAATGTTGCCACGAATCATTCGTCATTTTTTTGAAACGTAATCCGCCGTTTTGTAGAATCTGCTAATATTGACGTTATTGTTTGGCGACGGGATTGGGAAAACCCATCACACAAACTCTGTAAATGGATGAACGGGTTACAACTAAGTTTACCTCCCACTGTGGTCTTTACTGCCTTTACACCAATACATACATAAACCCTGAAGGCTGTGAAATGAGGTGAAAGAAACTTTTATTGGTGCCAGTCCAGATAAAATAGTTTTCTGGACTTTACCCTGTGATAAATGAGACAGTCATGGCCTAGCCTATCAAGCCTGTGTGGCTTTTCAGTGATTGTGCTATCTGTGATCAGGGCTGTATGCCATACATAAGTCAATCACTTCATTTATGAAGGAAGACCTCTGATGCAAAGCAAATGTGCTGTATAGTCTCTCAACAAGCTGCTTGTACCATGACATCTAACTTCTCCTGATAAATCTTTGCCTTCACTGTGACTCAGGTCGAAAGAACAGCTTTGAGTCGTTGGATCTGAAGTATGTCAACTTCACAAATCCCTGGAGCCCGAAGAATTTCGTCGTCCAGTCCAAACTCCAGCGGACAGAGCACAAGACAGAGCGATCTGCCACTTTCTCTTTTGGCAAAATGTTCCCCCGCTATGTGCACTTTTACAACCCCAATGAGAAAAACAAATGGGGAGACCAGAGGGGATACCGCATTCAGTTCAACTCACATGCCCACAGTGTCCTTCCAAGAGGCTGGAGAGAGGAAAAAGGCATCAGTTGGTCAAGGTAATCAAGTATTTAACCTTATGTTGCTCGAAAAAACATACATGATGTAGGGTACAATATTATATTTAATGTCCATCATCTTAAACCTATTTCCCTCAAGTTCAGTCATATTCGGTGTGTTTGACCACATTGAAATCAACAGTCGAATTTAGGTTCTGTGCATTCGAGGATGGTTAGCACACCTAGATCTATTTGTAATGATGGACCCAATGGAGGGGGAGTGCGGATGAAAAGGTCAATCTCTGAATTGGGAGTCTGGTTAGAAATCAGGTCAACGTAGATTTATGGTTTGGGAGTCAACACAGGTTGAGAAAACAGTTTGTTTAAGGCTTTATTTAATATATTCGTTGAACTTTTGTCACCTAATAATGTTTTGTCACTGTTGGAGTATCCAAGCAAAGTGTTCACACTTTATAAAGCAAAACTATGTTTCTTTGAAATGTACAAAAAGAACGTTCTGTCGATGATCTGATGATCCTGAGGTGTGAGGTCACTGTGTCAAACGGTAGAATAAGCTGGAAACTGAAAATAATTGACAGACTGGCTCAGGTGTTGTTACTCTGTATGAATGCTTTGTCTGTCAGCTGTCAGCATTATTATATAAAACTGACTGATTGACTGGGGATCTGTCCCTCTGCAGGTATCCTCTGGCTGTGACTCGTCATAAAGACAGTGAAGCCACCAGCAGCAGCATCTTCACCCAGAATGACCCCTGGGAACCAGTCGTGTCTTTTGAGGACTACATCAACAAGGAAGACATAGTCAACCAGGTACAGAAGTGGAGACCACAATGCACATGAAATTCAGGACTTTTTGGATTAGATTAAAATCAATATTTTTGTTCTCACAAAAAAAGAGAAGAAAACGTTTTTTTTTCTCAAAAATATTGAACTGTACCTTTAACATGAACGGTGTTCCACTGAGAAATCCAACACTCCATTTCAAATTGTTTTAATAACATCATAGAAATCTACAATGTTTTCCAAACACAATGAACACTGTTAACAAGTATCGATAACTTGGAAATCTGTGAGGAAAGCTGAGTATGATCAGCAACTACGGTAACGGTAGCTGTTCTTTGAGATCGGGGGGTTAGTAACGATTGAACAGTCTCTTTCTTACTGCTACAAGAAGTCACAATTCGCTAATGGACAGCGTCCTTTATGATGTTTCAAACGGGTGGGGGTGTTTTTCTGAGAAGTTACGTCATTGGTTTAAGTTTACTCGTCCTAAAATAATCCGTTCATCAGTTCCGGTCACTCACCATCATGGTGACTCACCATTGCTGACATTTTGTGTCCTATTCTAAAAATAAAAGATCTAATGTAATGTTTGCTCTGCTGTGTGCAGGATCTGGTAGCCTGGGTGACGGTGGGCTTCCTGCATGTGCCTCACTCAGAAGATATCCCCAACACGGCAACGCCCGGCAACGCGGTGGGCTTCTTCCTCCGGCCATTCAACTTCTTCGACGAAGACCCTTCGGTGGCATCCAGAAGCACCGTCATTGTCCGGCCGGGACGGGACGGCAAACCCAAAGTCCAGAGATGGACACCTGAGGTCATAGGTCACTGTGTAACAGACAAGCCATTCTTTTACAATGGCACATATGCAGGAGTCTAAAGAAGTTTAGTTTGGGGGGGGGTGAAATATCATCATCTCAGATTAATAACAATCACTTGAAGTATATTCGGTCAGATTTACTCAATGTGACAAACGTTTTATTTTTAAAGAAAGAAAATCCATGAAATAGAAAAACATTCAAATCAACAAGAACATTTTATAAAAGGTAAAACTCATAAATAAGTCTGTCATAGTCATAACTAAAAATCTTTTTGTTAATGTTAAATTATAGCTGCTGACGTTCTAATTTGCGTAATGCGTTGTACATCATACACATTTCAAGTTAATCTCAATGTTAATGTACCAAACACACACAGGGGGGAAGTGGAGGCGGTGTGGGTCACGGGGGGCCTCGAGGGCTGCTCTAATCCCATGTTGGGTCTCCATGGCTGAGGTTTAGCAGCAGCGAGCATCCAGGATGCAGGATGCTCTGTATCCGCCCTGTGGTAAACTGCAGCTCCCTCAGCATGCTCCTCTTGCCCCCACGGTGGGAATGTTTTCCATGGAAAGACAACAGGCCTTGCAGAGCAAACAGCCTGGTTCCGGATCCTTCCCCGCAAACAGTCCAGGATACCACCTGGCTGCCCCGTCGCCCCTGGAAACCTCACTTTAACAACATGCAATGTGACACAATGTCCAGAAAAATCAGCACATGGTACGCTTTGTCCCTTATGTACGCATTCCTCACATAGCAATGCCACTTTACACTTCGCAACCCAAAGATTTAATAAGACGAATAAACCTGTTTTCATCATATTGTGTCTTTTTGATTGAAACTTTTCTATAATAAGCAATGATTAATAAACACAGGTCTATGTTAGACCCCAAACTGAACATAACTGTCAGAAAAAGGAGGTTTTGTTTGAAGGGTAAATAATGAGCGTTGTTTTGTCGGGGAAAAGGAATCCAGCCAGTCCAACCACTGTCGTCAGGATGTTCACAATCTAAAACAAAGCTTTTTATAAATGTGTGCCCATGATTTACAGAGCGCATGGTAAAAGAGGGATAGCATGAGAGCTGTGCACTCATGAGTGAATGGACAGCATTGGTTAAGAGGACAAAAAAACCCAATGTGAGTTGGGTAACAAGCATTCCTATAGCTACCCCATGGCAATGATGGGCTTGACGTCACAACAGACAAACTATAGAAAAGCAGTGAAAACCCAGTTCATTCATTCTCAACGTCTTACGTGTACAAAAACATCCAAATAACCGTGTGAGAGTGTGTTGCACTCACGCTGCAGGGCCCTGAAACCATTCCCTTGGTTCCCTGTAATCTTTCTGTGGCTTTTTTGAACTGTCCGAAAGTGCTGAAAACAGAATGTTGTAAGCAGCCAACAATGTAAAAATAAATACTGTCACAAGACGGCACAACATGCATCATGTCTTACTCAGGTTATGATAACAAATGTGGGTTCCAGACTCAAAGACAAACATTGTGACAAACAATATTTTCACATTTCTTCAGAACAAATACTTCTAGTGCAGTAGATAGAGGATGAAAACCTGTTAGTGGGCCTGAATAAAAAAGTCTAGGAAAGGAGATGGTGCTTTGCTGCCACCTAGTGGTTTCTTCAAAAGTGTTTGGTCTGTTCAGACGCTAACAGTGACATCCAGTTACAGTCCATCGTCATCGCCTGTGGGGGCCCACAGAGAGAGAGCAGTCTACAAAAAACTATAAATAAATCATTTCTTATTTTCTTTTGTCGTGTACAGATATACAACGATGATTGCTGGGTAATATGTACACTGATGTTGACCAATGTCAAGTCTCCATTCATTCGGAAATTTGGTTTAAATAGCAGAAACACAAATACAAAAAAACACCATCAAGTTGCATAAAGTCACACTATCTGTCAACACGTCACAACCTGTGAAGATCATCACCTGTGAGCACCCCCATTCATTAAAGCCTGTGTGTGAATCCCACAGTGCGGCTATATGGAAATGTCACATGTGTCTGAATGAGCTGATATTACTACATCCTGTTTGAGATCCTCATCTATGAATATCATGTGACAATGACTCAGCAAAACAGCGGAATATCTCCAGTGTGTGATAGAAAGATGTGACGGTAAACACATTAGTACTTAGGTAGGCTATTATTGGACCAGATGTCCAGCAGATGAGGCAAGCTCTGGCCTTTATTTTGTGCCTTCCAAATCACACCACCTTCATTATAATATACTGCTTATTAAATAAACGTCTCCTATTACAAAACTACGAAAATGTTCAAAGAGAGATAGAGTTGACTTTGGGCATCATTCTGACTCTAAATCCAGCGCTTTTCATTCTGGCATAGTTCCTGATGATATATCATTTAGGCCGATATTTTACTTTGACCAGAGCAGAGTTAGAAGGAGACTGAATGTATAAAAGCCCTTATCAGACATCACGTTAAGGTGCAAGTGGACATGCTGGTCTCATGTCTGAATAAGGTTAAAAGGAGGTAAACTATGTGTATGTCATGTCTGAAGCAAACTGTAAGGGACATTAAAGGGACAGTTCACCCCAAAATACAGAATTGCATATTTTCCTCTTACCCGTAGTGCTATTTATCAATCCAGATTGTTTTGGTGTGAGTTGCCTAGTTTTGGAGACATCGGCTGCCTTCTCTCAGATAAAATGGGACTAGATGGCACTCGGCTTGTCAAAGCGCTGGGAAAAAAATCTAGTGGTGAGGTTGCAGGTTGCATCCAACTGAACAACTCTCCAGGTCACGCGTCCCCTTACCAGGACTCTCTTTGTCCATCTAAACTTCTCATTCTAAGCTAAGAAAAACACAATCAATCCATCGTTCCAGGCGATAAATATTACATTCAATTTCAAATGACATATTCCGTTAAGTAATAATTAGTGCCGGGCAACGATTACAATTTTTTATCACAATTAATCGCATTGTTATGTGCAAAATTCAATAATGAATTCAAAAGTAGTGTATTGCGCACTTAATAACATTTGGTTTAAACACTTTAAACACATCAGGTTCTTGTTAGCAGCAGTATTCCCTTTACACAGCAGCAGTTATAACACAGTTATAGTGATTCTGATAATAGATATTCAGCCGGTGTTCATAACTTTATCTTCATGTGTGTAAGAGATGCAATTTAAATATACACCTTGAAAACTGCAAACATATCTACTTCATGTTTTTATGTTTGTTAAATTCTCAGTAGCGATACCTAAATGATGCTTATTATACATATTGCAAACAAAACACTTTAAAAACTCTAAAAACTAATTTAAATGAATCATTTATTTTTTGCTTTTGTTGGTATTGTGGTCAGACACATATGCAACGCTGATTACCGTAATATGTGTGGTATTTGTTATAAATGTACGTTGGTATAGAGCAGGGGTCTCAAACGCCACGTCATTTTATGTGGCCCACGAATCCGCCAGCAAAAAAAAAAAAAAAAGTAAAAAAAAAAAAGAATTAAATTTTTTTTTTAAAAGTTAGACTTGATAATAAAAATATCCCCATAGTCGAAATTATAAGATAGAAAGTCGAAATTATGAGATAGAAAGTCGAAATTATGAGATAGAAAGTCATAATGATGAAATACTTAAACACACAGTCATAGAAGCAGCTCTTTGGCTGGTTAATGTACATTTGACATGGAAATGTATTGTGAGTACATTGAAGACTACTTTAAACGTGTCTTTACAACACATGAAATGCTTCACGTGGGATTGTGCAAACGCACCCATGAAAGGATTTTAAGCTTTGAACAAGTTATTGTAATAACTTGTGTTTGATATTTTCTTTAATAGTTTGATCTGTGATAGAGTAATGTGGGTTTATTAACCCTAAATTAAAAGGATTTAAGTTATAATAACAGAAATGTGCTTCAATATATTTTACATTTATATAACTGCATGTACAATATTTTTACACTTGAATAAACAATAATCAAATGCAGAGACAGTTATTTACCTATATGTTAGGAGAAGTTACATTTACAACCGGCCCTTTGTGGGCGACCATGATGCTGATGTGGTGATAAGAAGCTGTACATGGAGGGGCTTAGGACCCAGGGGAGTGTAGGTGAAGCATGGAACCTGTAGTCTGTACCGTGGCAGTAGAACGTTATGCTAATAAAGAGTTGCAGTTGAGAGCAGTTTGTTCTCGCGTCCTTATATGTTTATTTAAAAACACCACAATATGTATTTTGATATTGTCACGATCCTGTAACGAGCCGATCGCGCGCACGTGTGTGTGTGTGTGTGTGTGTGAGTGTTTGCGTGTGTGTGTGTGTGTGTGTGTGAGAGACAGGAGGGACAGGAGGCAGCAGCAGGAAGTGACGCCACACAAACACAGCTGTTCACTGCTTGCTGCTGGCCGGTCGGCCGGCCGGTTCTTGTGTTAAAAATGTCCGCTTAAAAATTTTAAAAAAGAACTGCGTTAACGCGCGATAAAATAATTGTCGACGTTAATTAATTAATGTGTTAACGCGATAATAACACGTTAACTTGCCCAGCACTAGTAATAATCTTTAATTTGAATAAATGTCCGGTGAAGTCACTATCTATCGTCCAATGAAGAAGCACAGCGGTGATTGAGTCCAGGCCCACTGATGAGAGTTCCTGCATTTGCAGAGTTATGAGCTGGGAGTCTGAGGCGAAATCACAAGCAGCACACGCAGTTTGGATCTCTGGGAAGTGAGATCAAGAACAAGTAACTCCTCCAGTTGCCGCTTATCAACACTGGTGCTGCCAAAAAGAACAAAGCGGAGATCTCTGAGGTTGGTACTTTAATTATCTTCCAAAAATCAAAATCAGATGAATTTGAAAACAGGGATGTGTGCGGATAAAAAATGGGATTTTTCAAGTTTCCATTGGCCTTCAGTTCTTCCCCTTTCTAAAACTGTGTTATGAGTAAAACATATTCCAGTGTGTGGCAATGACTTGGTTAGTTAGCTTCATAGTGAGGAACGATCACACACACCAAGTGTTGTATATAAATAGCTATGCGTCAAGTTCACATTTACTTAAAACTTTAAAGCCGCAATCAAAATGTTTAAATTAACAATGGGGAAGATGTGAAAGGGATCGCTTATAATATATATATATATATATAATATATATACATACGCAACCGATTGCTAGCACATTTGATCACGTCTATGAGCTGATAGTAGTCGAGGTTGTTTATAACTGAGACATTAAACGTGTGTCTTCGCAGGGATCGCTGTGAAAGGATTGTTTTTGTTCAAAGAAATTTCAAATCATCTAAAAAGTATTGTAAATATTGTATTTGGGAATACATTTTCTTGCATGACATATAAATTGACAGGTTTTATACAGGAAGCACTGTCCTCTGTCCTTTAACTGTGTCCATTTATCAAGCAGTGAGCGGGACAAACAGAAACATGACATAATAATAATAATAACACCCTCATCCAGCAAGTATGTGTGCAAGTGCATGTTCCTGTGTGTGTGTGCATGTGTGTGCATGTGTGTGCGTGTGCATGCATCTGTAGAGGGGGCGCACGGCAGTGTGTGTCCCCGTTGGTATGCCAACCATCCCATTCCTCTTTGTCCACCTCTCAAAATAACCCCCCACCATCCCCGGCAGCAGCTGAGACAAAACCTCAGACGGACGGACGGACTCCATAAAACAGAAGGAGACGGGAGTACAGGGCAAGGAGATGAGAGAGAAATCTGAATCACCTAACACGTCCCCATGGAGAGGATGTTGGCATGGTCTCATATCAAAAAGAACACAGCACATTTCTCAGGAGGGCATGCAAATT